CATCTTCCTATTTTTTCCCTCTTTGCACAGATTAGGGAACTCACGTGGTTGAGGTCTCCGTGGAGCTGCGGATGCTTTAGTAAAAGAACTGCCAACCCAGGACACCCCCCAGGGCCAAATAGGCCACAACCAAGTGAAGCAGGCCCAGGGTGGGGCAGTCGGCAGCGGTGGAGACTGTGGTCAATCGGAGCATCCTGGACAAGAAAGAGCTGTAAGGAACTCAGATTCAGGCCACCGGCCACCAGTTTTCTGCTGCAGGCCAAAGTCATATATCCAACTCTGGCTCAGACAATCACATTGTATTTTAAGTGCTTCTGCCCTTGCACTTTCCCTTCATTGGGCTTCTGGGATGCCCCCGCATCTATCCTTGGGTGATGAACGTCTCCCAGCGAGCATATGCAGAGGTGAGGCCCTAAATTCAGCACGTAATTCTCTTAGGGAGGGACCACGTTGGGCACTTTATTAGGTTCTTTGTCGGGAAGCCCATGTGCCCGGATGCTAAAAGTCAGCGGAACTGTTTCAGTGGAAGAGCAGATGATACTTGGTTGTGTTTAGGAGCCAAATTGAGGAATTCTCGTGTTGTGGCTTTACACGCGGACTCAGGACAGGGCTGAGGGTGGCCGTGAACACGCAGGATCCACCCATCTTTGAGCAAAGCCTGTTCCAGGAGGGTGAAGACGATGGTGGAAAGCCCTGGAGGGCCCCCTGGGGGGGTGGACTTCCTGCTGCCTCCAGGGACGGTGGCCTCCCGCTGTAACACCTCCTCCTCCGCGGATCCCGCAGCTGGAACCTGGATCACAGTTTGATTGTGGACTCCGCCTCTCTGATTCCATCCTGCCTTCCTTTGAGCGTTGCAGGATCCTGAGCTATCCTTACAACACAGTCGCTGTATCTTCTTCAGCGAGAGCTCCTCACGTATCAGGCTTGGCTCTTACAGTTCAGTCTCAGCCTGTTGGAAGAGCTGGCTTATTTCTAGTGGATTTTTATGCAGTCTAGTGTAACAGGAGTTTACACCCTTCAGGTATTCAAACGGGAAAATCACTAGTCAAAAGACAACAGGAGGGGATGCATTTTGGAAACAGTTTGTATTTAGTGGGGAGGAGTTAGAATTTTATGGAGTTATGACTCAGCTTTCTCTTTTCCCATTCATACCCTATCTTTCTCCTCTCTCAGATGCTACTTTTCTTCATACTAGTGTATCTGCTTTTCAAGAAATACATGGAACCGATAGACTGCTTGCTTAGCAGGAGGCAATGGGGGGAACCTGCCTCAGTCTATGGAGGAAAATAAAACTGGATACCTATGTACCACTGTAAAGATCATAGGAAAACCTAGGAGAGTAGGAGAGCATCATGACATAGGGGTGCGGAAGGATTTCTTATCCAAAACTGCAAAAGCATAAAACAAAAAACCTTGATGAACTTGATCATGTTAAAATTAAGGATTTCTAGTCAACAAATAATACCGCGGGCTTCTCCCTCTCCCTCTGTCTCTCCCCGTGCTTGTGTTCAGTCTCTCTCTCTCTGACAAGTAAATAAATAAAAATTTTTTTCCCTAT